TTTTATTAATAAAATTTTGTATTTAAGATATGATGATTTAATATATAAATAATTTATTTCTAAACTAATTTATTTCTCTATTAATTCTTTTAGGTTTGTGAATCTAACGAAGTCTAATATCTATGAATAAATATAATAAAACAAATATTCTTACTATGTAAACTTATAACATACATAAATATCCATTTTTAAAATATTGGAAGTATAATAAAATAAAAAAATAATTATCAATAGTCTGATTTCAAAGATTCCGTTAATGCATTAATTTATGATAACGTGAAATATTTAATTATTATATTATAAATAAATAAATATATATATATATATATATATATATATATATATATAATCCACGAATTAAAAACAATTATGAGATAATTAATTTTTTTTATTTTAATTATTTTTTTATTTGTAATATATTGATTTAATTATCTTGAACAATTATGTTTCTTCTTTTCCATCACTGCTTTCGGAAGAACTCTCATGTGTTGTGGAAGAATCATTATCCTCTCAAGCAATATAAGTTTTGTGTTTGCTCTTATAGGTATCGTTCTTCTCTTTCACATCTTTCTTCTCTTTCTTAAGTTTCGGACAATCTGGTTTGATATGACTAAGTTTTTCACATTCATAGCAATGAAATTTATTTGTTTTCTCCTTTCTTTGCTGTCTCTTTTTCCTTTTTTTCATAAAGCGAAAAAATTGTTTAACAAAAAGAGACATATCGGAGTCCGAAAACTTACCTTCATTTTCGCTTTCGTTTTGTGAAGATTTTTCTGCTTTTAGAGCTATCGTCTTTGTTTGATTCTGTTCATCGTTCTTTAATCTTTGTAGCTCCATCTCATGTTCTCGCAGCTTTCCAAATAGAGTAGCAATATTCATTTTTGTGAGATCCTTTGATTCTGTAATAGCAGTGACTTTGGTTGTCAATTCCTGTCTAAGGATTTTAAGATCTTTGTGCTAACTCCTCATTGTCAAAACTCTTTCTTAATGCTTTTAAGTGATTTATTATATGTGTGAAGTGTGTCTAGAAATCTGTGATGCTTTCATTTTGCTGCATTTGAAATAATTCATACTCCTGGATGAGTGTGTTCTTACGTGCTTGCTTTACTTCATTTGTTCCTTCATGTGTTACTTCAAGAGTGTCTCATATTTCTTTTGTCGTCTTGCATTGTGAGACCCTGAAAAATTCATTACGATTTAAGGCAGAAACAATAGTATTTCAGGCTCTTACATCATAATAGGCACGCTTATTTTCATCCGGTGTCCATTGATCAAAAGTCTTTGGAACAACTCCAGACTTCGTTGTACTCATCGGAATGTAGGGACCATTGAGTACAACATCCCAAACATCATAATCTAGTGTTTGTAAAAATATTTCCATTCTTGCTTTCCAAAATTGATAATCTTCTCCTTCAAATAATGGTGGTCTGTTTATTGAGGTTTCTTCCCTATAAACCTGATTTTACATAGATATCTTGACAGATCGTTTAGAAATATCTTATCTAACCAAGCTCTGATATCACTTGTTAGACAAATGGCATCTAGAGGGGGTGAATAGAAGCACAAATTAAAATAGATGTCAAATTAAAAATTTATTTGTGAGTCAAAAATTTGTTTGAACACGAGATAAAGTGGAAGCGATAATATAATCAGGAAAAGATAAAGAGATAAGGGAAAGAGAAGAGCACACAATGA